GTTTGCTTACACGGCGAGGATCAAATATTAAATACACACCGCATCATCTCGAAGGCAAGAAATTTAATAAATTTTAAATTTACGCCACGTTCAAAATTAATCGAAAAACTGTAAAAACCGCGTATTCCACCACGAGAGATTACTTCCGGTGTAAAAACATTATTATCTCCGAAAAATACAAATAAAATATAACAAATACGGGGGAAAAACAAAATTATTATTAATAACGAATCAGAGAAAAATTTGTAGCGTAAAAGTTCTTACGACTCTCCAAACGAAACTTCTCTTCTCAATATTACAATTCTCGGACCAATAAATTTAACTCGAGGAAAACAATTAAAAAAATTCCATTTACAAAAAAAAAAAGAAAATACAAATACTATTCAAAAGTTCGAAGGAGGATCGAAACACTCGCGAATTAGATTAGATTTCCTGGGAGCAGGAAAATCATAGAAGCAGAAAAACAAATCGATCGACCGAGTCGACTCTGCTCGACCGGCCCCGAATCTTTCCAAACCGTTTTCGCCCAGCTCTCGGACAGTCCATTCCAGTTTGGTTACGTTATGCGGGTTGGCGCAACATCGCGATGTTTTTGTTCAAGATAACGGAAAGGAACGATCAATGCCAGGCATTGAACGGCGGATGAACGATGCGCAAGAGCCAAAAACACCGGGAGTTAGAAGCGTTGGAAGTCAATAACCGGGACGATCACCTGCATTTCGAACGACAGAAACGAGGAGACAGCCAACCTCCTCCTCCCTCTCCTCCGTTTTATCACCGGTGCTAAAACCTTCCCTCCCCTTATATACAGTTCGAGGCCACCTAGAAATCGTGAAAACGATCGCACAACGTTCCAACCGCGATCGGTACAGTAGTAGTAGTACAGTAGTAGCGTAAGGTAATGCGATCGGTCAGAAGGAAGCGGATAACAGGAAGAGCGGAGAGGGTGAAAGACAGAGAGAAGGAGCTCGCGAAAGGAGGAAGGGAAAATGGAAGCGATGGAGAGAGAGAGAGAGAGAGAGAGAGAGAGAAGGGTGAAAGGGAGGGAGAATCGGAGGGTCGTACGTATCGCATCAGGGTGTATGCACCGAAGAGGGGTAGGCCGCGGCGGGGGTCACGGAGTGCGCTGACCTACTGTCCCACATTCGTAGCACAGAGCAGCCTTCCTCCGAACTTCGTAGCGGAGCGAACCCAGAAACCCAGAACGCTGCCTGCCAACCCCCTCCGCCAACCCCCTCCTCGACCACTGCCCTGTCTCGCTCCCTGTCCCTCTCTTTGTCCTTCTTCCCTTCCCTCCTCTGCCTCTATACACCCCCTACAATCTCGCGGATTTAAAGCTGAATCCTTTATACCGTGGAATCGCGTGGAACGGCGGCGCAGCCAGCAGCCATCCGGGTGCATCGCATCGCAGCGACTTTCTTTTCTTTTCTTTCTTTCTTTCTTTCTTTCTTTCTTCTTCCTCCCCCTCCTCGGCTTCGGTACAGAAGGAGAAGAGAGGCAGGGGGGAGACGAGAGCATCTCAAGCTTTTGGTCCTCTCAGTTTAAAAAAGATCCACTTTTTTTGTCCGTCTGAGATTATGTTTGCGTATGTATATATATATATATATAGTAGATTTATAGTAAGGATTTAATGAGTGTCCAAAGATTTATCGATGCGTTGTTTACCCTTCTCCCTTCCCCTTCCCTCCTCCCCCGATTGCATTTGTTTTCGCACCGCATCGATAACCCGATTCTCAGTTTCGTGCCACCGCAACCGAGGCTATTCTATATGTCAGCCAGGATAACCCAGAATATGGGGAAGCAAGATTTCTTGTGTCGCGAGCAAATTGTCCATATCCACCATTATAATCTCACGGATAGATGGAATTTCTCGAGGAGGAAGAAGAGGAGGAGATCGCACCGCGTGGAAAAATATATAAAAATTCAAAAAGTTTCGTATCCAAGGTCTACGGGTCTATAAACTTGCGTTGCAAAACTATGAGAGGAGGGGGAGGAAGGTTCTCGAGGAGAGGAGAGGGTTGATCAATTGCTCGAAGGGTGGTGGGAAGAAAACAGAGTCATCAGATAAGGGATGTTGGAGAGGCTGAGGTCGGAATTTATCGCGGTCATTTCGCAACGATCCGGTCGTTACCTCGTTTCGCTCGCAAGGACAATTAACAGTGGCAACGTTGGCGGGATCAGTGAACCGACCCAGTGGCAATTATATATCCTCGTCTTCGATCGTCCAACGAATATCGATGATCGAAGAGGCGCGCGCGCGCGCGCGCGCGAAAGATCGTGAAAAGGTGGCCGTGATTTTCGAATCACGGTTGCGGTTGTTGTTCGACGAATAACAGGGAAACGACGGTTTTCCATGAATTATTCGATTCGAGGCGGAGGAGGGTGGACGGGGCGCCGAGACTGCAAGGAACGTTCATGCACCCCGAAAGCTCGTTTCCCTCCCTGCTCAAGCGGCGCATGCCTCTTGACGCTGTATCGGTCCGACGCACACCCACGAGGGAGCGAAAGCTCACTTACGGTCACGAATTCTTACGCACACCAGCCGATCCGACGACACCTGCTCTCCCTGCCTTGTGATAATGATTATTCTTTTTCGAAAACGCGCCGGGGGAAATCATCCGTCTCGAGAAACACGAAATATTCTCAATCGTAAAATCTATCCAGCCTCTGTTTCGAAGGAAATACGATGAAATTTTCTTTCGTTTATTTTTCTTTTTTCCCTTTTTTTTTTTGGAAAAGTAGCGGGGGAAGAAGAATCCTTAGGAATGATTAATCGATCTTGAAATGGAATATAATTCGAATTGTATTTTAAGCATGTATTTTAAGCAAATTTTAAACTTTTTATTTCTCGTTTTATAGCAAGAAGAAACGTATATAACGATTAAATTTTTCTTCGTGGTTCGTCTCGCAGAAAGATACTTTTCGTGTACAAGGATCGAGGAGATTATTCAATTATAAAGATTATAAAATTCTTCCTTCATTACAAACGTCGAGGAAAAAGAATACCTCTCCAATTACATTTGATTACGCACAACAGAAAGAAAGAAATGATAGTAACACCGTTCAAATTCAAATCGTTCAAGCGGGACGCGTGACGACACGCGTTGCCAACGGACTAATAGGCGTCGAACACGTTGCGCGGGAACTATAAGCAAAAACTAGTTTACAAACTTCTCCTCCTATTCCCAACTCTCGAGTTCTCGAGACGACTGTCGATGACAACAAATAAAAAAAAAAAAAAGGAACCTGTATACCACTTACAAATAATTACAATAATTTAAATTCAAAGACACTCGAGCAACCAGTGATAGATAATAACACGAAATATCCTAAGACTTTAAACGTTTAATCATACGAAAAAAAGCAAACGATATAAATCCCCTCAAATTCATCGAATCACCAATCCAATTATCTCCAACAATTATATCTTCGAGGGGCTCCTCGCCCTTGTTGATACGCGGCTGCACGCCCCCCTACTCAGGGGTGTAACGCGGAGGAGCGACGAAGACGAGGCAGCGAACGGGCGCGAACTCGTCGATGTGGAGCGAGAAGGAGAGAGAGAGATATAGTGCTGCGGGAAGAGGAAGAGGAGAAGGAGAAGAGGAGGCGGCCTAGAGGGAGGGGGAACCTTCTCGAGGAGAGGGACGGAAACGCCGAACCGCGGAATTTGGAGAGGAAGGAGGAGAGAAGCTCGCGAGGGCGCGGAGAGGAACGAAGAGAGAGAGAGAGAGAGGGAAGCGAGAGGGAGGTAAGGGGCGAAGAGAGAGAGAGAGAGAGAGAAACAGAGAGACAGAGGAGGCGCGTGTGTAGGTGGTGGTGGAAGAGCGAGGAGAGCGTAGTCGAGCGACCGTCCCGCTGTGGCCACGAGCTCCGACGCTCGGGGAACGTAGGTAGTGCGTGAACTTCCGGCCGAGTGAAACGGACAAGAGAGAAAGGGGGAAGAAAGGAGCAGTGAGAAGGGCAATTCGAGATTCCCTTGGAAGGTAGTAGAGAGTCCGCAAGCGGAATCCTCCTTCTGCCTGGCCGGTTGGGACATATATATATATATATATATATATATATGTATGTGTGTGTGCGCGTGTGTGTGTATATATATATATATTCGTCATATCAGCGTTTGAAAACGCGAGTGGGGCTCGGACGATAGAGGACGGCGGCGGGTCGAGGCGAGGACTGGACGAGATCGTAGTGTTGTTGCTGTTGTTGTTGTTGTTGTCGTTGTTGTGTTGTTGTTGTTGTTGCGCGAGTGCGTGAGAAGAAGAAGAAGAAGAAGAAGAAGAGNCGTGAGAAGAAGAAGAAGAGGAAGAAGAAGAGGAAGAAGAAGCGGAAGGAGGACACGGGGACGTGGTGGACGTGGACGTGGACGCGTGGACGTGAACGGGCGCGAATCGAATCGAATCGAATCTAGTGGAGGCAGGGGGGGAGAGAGAGAGGAGGAGGAGGAGGAGGAGGAGGAGAGAGAGCCGCGAGTGGAGTTACGCGACGAGGAGAGGAAGTAGGGAGGGAGGGAGGGAGGGAGAGAGGGAGAGAGAGAGAGTGAGTGTGTGCGGGTGTCGGTGAAAGGGTTTTCGTTCGGTCGCCGCTCGATCGCCCTCGGAGACGCTGAGGGACGCGAGTGCGTTTGTTATGCGTACCAGAGTGTGGTACTACGGTGGTGGCGGTTGACGGCGGCGGCGGCGGCGAACACGACGAGCAGAAGAAGGACGAGGAGAAGCAGGACGAGGACGAGGACGAGGACGAGGACGACGACGACGACGACGACAACGACAGGAAGGAGGAACAGGAATAGGAGCGACAGGAGCTTCAAAGGAGGACGTGGACGCGAACGAGGAGGCGGAGGAGGAGCTGGAGGAGGAGGAGGAGGTGGAAGAAGAGGAACAGGTGCGAGTAAGAGTGCGGGTGCGAATTCGGGATCGAGGAAGGAGGCAGCGGGAGGAGGAGGAGGAGAAGGAGGAGGAGGAGGAGGAGGAGGAGGAGGAGGAGGATCAACCGAGGATCGAGAGGAATCGTCATCCTCGTCGCGAGACCGATCGAGAGTGCGTTCTGGTGTGTTGCCGCAGGGGAGGAGGGGAGGGAGACTCGAAAGGGAGGAAAGACGACGACGTCGGCGACGAGGTGGAAGAAGGAGAGGAAGAGAGGTGCTGGAGGAAGACGAGGAAGAAGAAAAGGAAGGTAGAAGTGGTTGGTTCCGTTTGTCTCGTCGTCTCGGGATCGAGAGAGTTTAGAGTTTAGGAGAGAGGAAGAGGCATTCCCCCCCTCTCTTCTCTCTCTCTCTCTCTCTCTCTCTCCCTCTCTCCAGTCTCTCCGCGAGTCTCTCCGAGTGATCGTTTTTGCGCGAACGAGCGATCAAGAGCGAAGAAGAAACGATAAGAAAACGGGTGTTACGGGTGGATCGGGAAATCGAGGAGGAGGAGGAGGAGGATAAAATCGAGGAAGAGAAGGGAAAAGGATATCGAAGAGAGAGAGAAAAAGTGGTATGTGGTGATATTTTTTTTCCCCGTCTTTTTTTTTTTTTTTTTTTTTTCTTTCGTTCCCTTCCGTTCCCCGTTCTCACTGGGAAATAGAGGAGGGCTACTGTGTTCGTCGTGGAGGCGGCGAAGCCTTTCGTCGAGTGTAGTGTGGTTTCTTAAAGTGGTGCCTCAGCACGAAGAGGGAATCGCCAGCAGGGCAGAGGCTCGAACGCATGTAGGAACATGGCCGCAACCAGCCCCTGCCTCCCTCTAGAGGTGAGTCCAGCGAAACCGGAATATGGCACTGTGATTCTTCGTTCCTACCGATTTCATTGCGAAATCACCTCGTTACATGGAACACCTTGTATCTACGCCTCTCTCTCGCTCGGACTCGGTGATTCCACTCGCTCGTTTCGTTCACGCGATCGTCGTATGTGCCGTGTCGTGCGCGTCGAAATTTCTAACCTATAAGTTGGTGGTGGGCAGATCAGTTTCGTGACGCGTTGTTCACCCAATATTCTTCATTCCCCTTTATTCGAACGTTCGTGTTTTCGATGGAGCCGTTCACGAAATTGACCTACTTCACGTGGAAGCCGGACATCGTTGTTCGTTCGACACGAGTGTGTATATGTATATATATATATATATATGTATATACCGTAGTAGTACACGTAGAGTGTTTCGTCCTTTTCTATCGTTATAGTTTCATACGATGCCGAAATACCGTTTAACCGAATAAGTGTAACGTATGCTCGCGAGATTGGCATATATATTTAACGATGACTCGTGACTGTTGCTCGTGTGTGATCGTTTCAGAAATTCGAATTAACGATGCGGTGTTGTTTCCCCGTTTGACCTCTTTATCAGTGTATCAGCGTACGTAAAGTATCAATCGGTTACTGTCTATTTGACTGTATAAACAGTTCGAGTATACCGGCACACTCTCGGTTATCGATATCTCGTTTCCTCGAAGCCGAAAAAATTCTAATTTGAATTAAAATTCGCTCGTCTTGTGTCTTGTATTCTGTATTCTTGTCACGAAGTTGAAGTTAATGATATCGAATGATATCTGAATTATTCACCTTTTTAATAGATGCGTATATAACATTCGATCCTTGAAGCCACGTTTGCATCAAATCAAGCTGATCTTGATTGTATGTTTTCACTTGTGAATCGATTTCGTTCAAAATTATTTGTTTGATATCATTTTAGAGAGTAATATGAAAGTAAAAATTGTCAGAATTCTTATTACTTCTCAATGCTTTTTAGAATATTATTGAACAATATTTATCCGTAAATATTTAAATCACGTTTAAAATAAAACACATTTAATTATTAAATTAAATAATTGAATTAAATACACTCGATGTTCACAGCTTTGACATATTTTCGAGATAAGTATTGCAACTGATGCAACATTGGAAATTAAAAGGTAACCTACATATACATACATCAATAACCAAAATATTCCACATTGTTCAATAATCTTCTCTCAACCACGGATATATATTCATAATCGAACTCAAAAAATAAAATCGTAAAATCGTTCGATTGGCCGTCATCTTCCATCATTCAAAGGATTGATAAAATTCTAATAGCAGAGTATAATATTAATACCAACGCAATAACGAAGCTTAAAAATCTCTTCCAAGAAAAATAACAATTCGCGAATTACCGAGAAACTTTTATATTCTAATTTCGTCCATCGATTTCCTCCTCGTGTAACGAGTCGTCATGCCTCGAGTTATGGCGTATTCGTAGAAAGAAAATTACACGGCGTGGCGCGATACCCTGGTGGATCGTTTCCTCCCCCCGTGTGTTTGTCGTATCGTGTTGGCCCCGTTTATTCCATCGAGTACTTATCGAGCTTTCATCGCGTCACTTATCAGCCCGTGCTGTCTGTTCACGAATGCAACGCGACCAGTTAAAGGGAACGCAACGAATCCCATGGCAAAGACGGCTTTTCGACCTTTCTTTTCGAAGACCCTCTTCCTTGACAACAAACCTATGACTGACAAATTATCAGTTAATTGACACAATTGGCTAAATAGAAACTCAATTATTTTATACTTGTCAGATATTCTTAGATTATATTCTAGTTTTAAAACTTATATTAATAATAATTAACTTATATAATAATAATTAATATTAGTTATATATTAGTTATAAAACTATATTCTAGTTTTTAGAGTCTTGTGAAAGATTTAAATATGCAAAATGTAATATTTCAAAAGTGAAACAGATTTCCACAGATTTTCATTAAAATTTAAATATCTAAGCAGTCTAACTAAAAGAGAAATTGAAAGTTTGATCGAGTGGAACAGATTTTTGATAAAAGAGTAAAAAGTAACACGCGTGTACAAAAGTGATTTGGATGGGATTCGATGGAATAGCGATTTGAACGAGCGTGAATATTTTTTCGAAGAAGGAATCTTGGAGCTTTAAGGATAGGGGATAGCATACAGTGAAGGTATACAGTCTGTCCTCTTTTTACGCTTTAATCATATCGATTAGGTTCTGATGTGTCACTTAATGGATCGAGCCTTTGAACGTAACTTCTTTGCATTATATTTTCCGCGAAATGGAAGAGTAATGAAATATTTTCTAAATTAATCCTGCTCGATAATGAAAAAATAAAACGACGAATGGAGACGTTGGTGTTATCGTAAAATTTGCATTTGTTTAGAAGCAGAATCTGATTCTGCTCCACAGAAGATATTAATTAGTAATTGAAAGAAAAATGGATGACAGTTTCTTTTTTTTTTTTTTCTTTTCACGAGGATTGTATTTTAGTAGTCATCGTGCAATAACAACATTGGTATCTTGATTGTATCTATTCTATTTATTGATAAAAAAAAAAAATTAACTCTGAAATATCTGTAAAAATTCGATTTTATATTTAAAAGTGTGTTTGCGTTAAGTGGAGGAGTCCTTTTCTCGTTTAGTAAAATTAAATGAAATTAAATAACTTTCGACTGTTTCGTTCACCAAATTGAAAATTCGAAGAGGGAAGGATATAAAGGATATTTGAGGGTAAAATCTTCGAGAGTTGAGTATTTTCTCGTGAGTGGAGACGAGTTCCTTTGAGAATGATTGTTCGAGAGTAAATTTCACTCATAATGGAATATCGACTAAGTAAAAAAATAATATTCGAGAGCAGCTCTCGAGAGTATTTTTCTCAAGTGGACTCTGCATTGAGAATGAAATAACTTTCACTCTCGTAACGTGAAAAATAATTCTTCAGAGTTTTGTTTTCAAACGTTATTAAGAGTGCAATTATTCTTTATTGGGCATAATGTCACGTGTTTCAATATGAATTATTTGATCATCAACATTTCAGAATTTTTTCGATGTAAATTTAAGAAATATTGTTTCATTTGCTCCATCATTTGTTCTTATTCGTTTAAATGTACCTTTAAAATGCATTTAAAATATAAAATGAGAACAAGAACATTGATTTATAAATTTGTTTACAAAAGAAAGAGAATTTACGTAAATATGAGCAATAGAGATTAGAACAAGAATTCATTAATTATTTTTATTTCAGTTTTCGGTCACATTCGTAACAATAGTTTGAAATAAAAAATATAATGATAAAAAATTTGATCTGATAAATAATCGTCACGTGATCAAATGTCAGAATTAGGGAAGAATAAATTGAAAACGATAGGATTATAAATTTGTATGGTGAATTTATATTAATTTAAAATAAGAATGAATTAGAAGGTTGTAATGATAGAATTATTTATGAGAAATATATTTCGTGCAATAATGCATGAAAGATGAGAATATGAAACATACAAAAATTTCTCTCATTATTATAGAAATTCCAATAAATATAATCGCCTTCGATTTCATGTTAGGATATTTATTTATCTAAATTAAGTTATTTGAAAATTGAAGTGACAAATAACATTAACACAATAACTTGAATGAAAATTTCAAATTATTTAATTTCTAGCTTCCTTGAATCAACTGTATAGTAATCTGAACGAGGCTTAAAGAATACTCAACTGTAGTAAAAATTCCCAACAATAATCAGACAACAGTTCTTTTCATTCGAGAAAAAAATATTCGATTAATTTTAATACTTTTAAATTAAATTGCTTGAATTCATATCAATTCAACTCGAATTACTTATATCACTTTGCTTGATATATTCTTTCAAGATTCAATTAAAGTTAATCAGTCACTTTTATGAATTTGTGTACAATATAGTCTTCGACCAAGCTATCAATTATTTGGCTTCAATCGATTAATTAATTATCGAAAAATGATTACATATTGCAACTTGCAATAAATCAAAAGACAACGAAAAATTTCTAAATTTTTACAAACTTACGAAAAATATCACATTTCATGAAATATTACAACAAAAATACCAGATATAAATAACATAGGATGAAAATATAATTAATTAATTAATCCGAACAAATCTTTGAATCAATCAAAATCAATTAATTTACTCGTTTAATTTGAGTAACTTTTAAGTAACGTTTAACCGCAGTAGAAATCTTCGAGAGTGATCAGACACTGCTCCAATTTCTTTACCATATTCGTTTATTATATTTCGAAATCGAACAACCGAAAGAACGTACGTGATATATTTTTGAATAAACAGCTTCTAAGATTAATTAACAGAAAATCATGGTGTTAATTCGCACGGTGTCATCTTTCTCGCAGAGTTTCCACCTCGTAAATATAACACGCAAAAAAAAAAAAAAGGATCCACTTTCCGTTAATTTGGCGCGCTGCATCAGGAATTTATTTTATACGGAGCGATTTATCGCTTTCATTAAAAGGCCCGTGACCATTTGTCCATAGACACACGACCAAGTTTTCACTCTAATTTTCATTTAACCCGTATTTCTCTCTCTCTCTCTTTTTTTTACGCCTGTTTCTCGAAAATCGCGAAAAATAAAGGTCGGCGACCGAATCGAAGCGGTTTCTTCCATTTTCTTCTTCCGGCACGAGCTATTATCCGAAATTGCCTTCAACGTCGCTTCGCTATTTTCGACTCGATCTTAAATCGGCATCCCATCTTGCGCATCCTGGAAAAATCTCGTTTGATAATGCTTGGTAGAATTAAAATCCGTTACTGAATAATTTATATTGCAGAAATTTCTTTTATTTTTTGGATCACGTAATTGTTTTTTTTTTTTTATTTATTTATTTGTTCCATTATTTTCACGATCTATCATTTCTTGTATTTGTTTCTGTTTGATAATTTTTGGCGGGCATTTTGAAAGAGGAATGTCTTCTTATGTTTATAATAA